CCCCAAAACCCCAAAACCCCAAAACCCCTCATGGCTGAGACTTTATTGAATCTGAATTTTTGATCTAGTATTTCTGTTCATATTTTATAAACATTTAGTTCCTCTTGGGATAGGAGAGCTTAAGTGGTAGAATCAGGCTCACCTTCGATCCTAGTGACCATCTTCTTGAGAATACTGAGTTTAGAAGCGATTGAAGGATTCATTCCGAAAGATGTCTTAATATCTCCTCTAGCCCTTCTCTTGAACATATTCTCATCATTATTAATGTTTGGGAATGGGATAGGGGTATCCTCAAGCTGTTCTGCAAACGAATTCATTGTGTGGTCAGGGTATTCGACTAGACCATTGTAGGGCTGGATACCTTTCTCCCACTTTTTATCTCTTTTAATTGATTTTTGTCAATCTTTTAAATTTTGGCTGACAGGAGGATTTTGAGAAACAGAATTTATATCCAGTGGAGATAAGGGTTGCCTTGAAATATGAGTGTCGTTTATTTTAAATTTGATTTTCTCTCTAGGAATCTTGCCATTTTTAATACTCTCATCAGCATTTTTGTTTGACCCATTAGGATGGTTAGAATTAATGTTTGAGAATTTAGAGTCATCCAAACTTTTAGTTGAAGTAGCCCGCTTTAAGGAGCTACTCAAGTTATTTTGGAAGGATTTCCACTGATTCCTATAAGGTTAGAAAATAAATACATATTGCTCTAGTTCAGTCTGACTATTAGAATTCCTTTTGTTAAAATAATGATTAGAGACTTGAATACTAATCTCTTCGTTACTACCTTTTCAATTATCAAATGTAGCATGATTACAATAAGTATTAAGATTCTGAAAATTAGCTTCCTGAACCTCCTGTATCTTCCCTCTCTTACTAAAATCCTGCTGGTTGACTTTATACTGAAGGTACTCTAATTTACTCATAACCTCCATAATCCTCTTATCATTGACCTCCCGCTCCTGTTTCATCGACCTAACGACTAAATCTCCTTCAAAGATCTGTTGCTTAGTCTCCTGTAACAACCTCTCCATTTCCTTAATCCTAAACCTAATCTCCTCCTACCCCTACCTATTATCCTTATATCTTCACTCATCCCTCAGGTCCTTGATCTGGGTTCTATTATCACTAAGCTGGTGGTCCATCATCTTATTACTTTCTAAAGCTAAGCCTAAACTTATCCTTTAAGATATCTATCTGGGCCTTAAGGTTCTTATTTTCAGTCTCAAGGTGTTCTATTTTGACCTTAAAGTCCTGGTTTTCTAGTACTTTTTGGTTGTATCTCTGCTCGAAGGTGGTGTCGTACCAGGACTGTAGGGTGAGAGGGGAAGATACCTTTTGGGATTCGATAGCTGTTTTGGACTCTTGGAGTTGTGTGAGGTTGCGGCTTAGTAAGCGACTAGGGGTGAAGAGTGGGGGTACCTGTTTTCGGCCTTGAGGATGTCAATTTCGTGCTTTAGGATGGCTTTTTGAGGGGTTTCTTGGGGGATTTGGAGTGGGAGGTTTAGGGATAGTTGTGATGGGGATTTGGAAGTGTAGTTTGGAAGTTTGGGGGTATATAGCATTTCTTTGATGTTTGAAAGGATTTGATCTGTTACAGCAGCTTTAGATAAACGGAGAGGAGATTTATGGGCTATGGAGAGGTTATAGAGTATTTTACAGTTTTTTCAGGTTTTTGGATTTGATGAACCTTGTAACTGCAAGCTTAGTTTAGTAAATTTGTTTCTGGATGTATTTGGTTTTGAAAAAAGTTGAGAAGAAGATGACCTTTGAATATTTTGAATCGGTTTTTGAAGAGCAATAGAGATTGAAGGATCATTTTCCTCATCTGAGAGAATATTCGAGTTTGAATTGTTGCTTCCTTTCAATATGCTATTTCCTCCTTGCAGTAGTTGATTTAGGACGAAGAGAGCTCAAATCAAAGCTAACCTTTTTCTCGATATTTGTAGACATAGATATATTATCATAATCTTTCCTATACAGAGTTTTTCCTAGAGCCAGCATAAAATTATGGCCACAAGCGATTTTGTTAAACTTAGTTTGCTTGTCATCCACTTCCATCTGATATATTTCAGGAGATTGTTCACTCAAAACATTCTGTGTATTGGACCAATAGTACAATTCTCCCTTCGTATTAATCACTCAGGAAGTCTCTATGCCTGAATCCATTGACAAAATAGGTGCTAAGTCTTTTCTCTTGTTGTGGAACAACTTATGTAGCTTCGTAGGTGGCTCTATCTTATCTCTGGAGATAGGGGTGCCCCATAAATATCACCTACCATTTATATCAACAGCCATAGAATGAAGACCAGCTTTTATTTTGACAACATCTTTGAGCTTGGATACCTTCTTGAAGGTAGTCGTGAAGTTCACAGAAGGATCTCCTAGAGAACAGTTAGGATTTAGAGGCTGGGTGAGGTAGTGAAGGAATTACATAGTCCGAGTTCTCCTTTACTGTTGCTTCCAGCTGAGTAGACCTATGGGAAGAATCAGAGATTTGGAGTCTTAGAGGAGATTGAGGAAATCTCTTTGGGATTTTGTTAATAATTTGAATGGAAATGTAGAGAATAAGCTTTAAACGATTTCAAGTAGCAAGATGAGATAAAGCTTGATGGATATAATTTCTGGAAATATCGAGAAAAATAAAGATACTATCATCAACTTTTAGTTTAATTGTGGTAAACAAGAATTCATAATATTTTTATGATCCTTAAGAATAACAATATTTATCATTCTAAACTTGAGATTTTTTCTCCAATAATTGACTCTTATTATATTTTTATCTTTAAAATTCTGGTAAGATTTCTTACATGCCCCTTATTTACTCAGCACTAATGTATGGTTGATTCCACATGCTACTGCTGAGATATTGCTGATTGCTAATTCAGGAAGTGGTCTCTGTAGGGTATCCCCAACTCCTAATTGTCCATAGTCATTTCATCCCCAAACAAGCAGTTTGTCACTTTCTAAAAATAATTTTTGAATCAGTTACTATCGATGGCTCATGTAAACCTTGCTCCTCATGATACTGATTTTATTTTCAAACTTGTGTCCTTGAATCAAGAATAGTCAGACTCATGATTCTCTGATGAATTAATAGCTCTGAACTTGAACTTTACAGGGCTCCATGCATTTTCTTTATTCTCTGTTCCAATGGCACCATATTTGGCAGATCCCCAGATATAAAACTCTCCTGTTTTCATGACAGCTGCTGTATGTTCCCACCCGCAGGCAACTTGTACACAGTCAGACCTCTGAATACTCTTGATTAAATGAGGAGTAGATAAGTATTCGATATCAGGATTTCCAATTCCAAGCTTGCCGAAGTGGTTACTTCCCATAGAATAAATTCCTTGAGGAGTAATGAACGCAGTGTGGTCCCTTCCACATGAAATTTGGAGTATTTCCACATCAAAAGTGACTATTCTTGGTACTTTTATCCTACAGTTCTGGCTCTATACATAAACTTGATGGGAAAATACTTTATCATGGGTCAGTTCCACTCCAAGCTGGCCACAATGGTTATTACCAGAGATAAGCACTTCAGTGTACTTTTCTTCATTGCCATAGTTTGTTTCATCCATTTAAATTTTCAAATTATTCAACTTATAAATTGATAAAGGGGTTTTGGGGTTTTGGGGTTTTGGGG